TCGCGGAGAGATGGGTTCTTGCACGCGCCGCTCGTCACCGACGTTCCTTCTTGGCTCCGGATACTATGTTCTGGCTTCTTGATTTCAGGGCCCACGCCACCGGGAAATGGAATGACAGGGCGTGGGTTACTCTCAGGGTGCTGTTTTTAACCTTTTAAAGCGCAGCAGGAAATGCGAGTAAGTCGCAGGCCTCCTCCTTTTCCCCTACATGCACGCGACTACCACCACCAGGGCTGTTTTTCGTCGACTCTCTCGCAATGAGCTTCCGCTGGGGACTATTCGTCTTTTGCTGACGTTTTTGACGACGGTGTTTCTGATTACGGGGGGTGCGCTTTGCGTGAAGGTGTGGACGACGTGAGTGGTATTGTTGTTCTCCTCGTCTACAATCTCATGGAGCTATGTGCAGACACCACCATGTGCAGAAGCAGCTTGACGCGAATTTGCCGTCTGGCGTGACCTCCGCTGTGCTGCATTATGCTGGTTAGGGCTCTGCTTTGATCTTGACGTTGTTGCTGACCTTGGGTAGACGTACGGACGACCTCCATCCTCGTCTTTGTCACCAACAACCTCGTCGTACTCGTCGTCTCGCACATCTTGCTCGCGATGCTGCAAGACATATTCGACATCATCCCGGCGTCTGTATTTCGGCGTCTTGGTACCCAGCTACCCACCCAGCCGCTTACGAGCGGGACCTTGCGGTACCAGGTCATGGGGATGATGGTGACTATGGTGCTTTATGTCGCCGCAACCGCGGTCCATACGGCGTTTGTGTTTTCGAGGAGTGGGTCAGTTGTGATTAGTAGCAGCACGTTGGCGGCAGCAGATGCGCAGGTAGCGGTGCAGGGCGTCTTGAACAACTTGGGGATCAAGCTGGCGTACCGCGATACGAGATACAGTCAGTGATCTTTCTTCTTCTAGTTTGGATGAGGTTCTGACGTGCCTAGTCCGTATCTCTGCGCAGATGGCGTGGCCCGCGTTGGTCTTCGCGTTGTTGACGACTGCGGTGACGGTCATGGCGTGGCGGAGGTATCCAAGGCGCGGTGGTGTTGTGGAGAAGGTGGAGGCAGAGCCGGAGAAGGTCACGTTATGAGTTGTACCCCAACTCCCCATTTTTTTCGTTGGTTGCGCGACTTTTGCGCCATGTGACCGCAGTATTGTATCAAAACCGGTCGGGGTCTCTAGAAAAAGTCGGAAGTCGAGTCACTTGTCGTACCTTGCTCTTTTCCATCGTGCACTCCGTACTGCTCGCTTGAACGCTGCGGTTCTACTCTTGGCACCATGCACTCGTTTCTACCCGATTCCGAGTCAATTCCGTGCCATCTTCATCTCGAATTCTTCCCCCTATTGTTCCACTGAGGCTGACACGCTGAGGTGCAATGTCTCCGAATTTAACCCGGATCAGACCATGCTCCGGGACCAAATATGGCGGCGCAGATATTATGCTTCAAGAAACAACGGAACGGCTAGCAACTACGATCGAGCCAGACAGCGGCTCGAGCCCCCTGCGAGCCATCCATCTCAACAGACAGCTTGGTTTGGGAGACAGGTGTGTGGAAATCCAAGTATTTGATGGTTAACCGGGCGTGTTACCGGAGGAAAGATAAGCAGGGAAGATAAACCACCTCGGAGCTTTCTACTATGGCTGAAGAGGAGGAGGACTGGCAAGACTACAAGCTTGGCGGCTATCACCCCGTCTCTATAGGGGATTCCTTCTCCGACAACCGCTATGTCGTCGTCCGCAAACTTGGATGGGGTCACTTCTCTACAGTCTGGCTGGCACGCGACGAGCTGTGCGTTATTCCCCATGCCCCCCCGCTGTCCGCCTGGTTGTTTACTTGTGCAGCATGCAGAGACATGTTGCCCTCAAGGTCGTCAAATCAGCACCGCGCTACACTGAGACCGCCGTCGACGAGATAAAGCTCCTCCAGCGACTCGTCCAATCCGCGGACCCCACCAAGCCCAGCTCGCATTCGGGCAGGTCTCATGTTATCTCCTTCCTAGATCACTTTAGGCATAAGGGTCCCAATGGCACCCATGTCTGCATGGTCTTTGAGGTATTGGGCGAGAATTTACTGGGACTTGTAAAGCGACATCAGGTGCGTCCGCCGATGCGCACTCTATCTAGTTCTGACTCGCACCAGAACAAGGGTGTCCCCATGCCCCTCGTCAAACAGATCGCGAAACAAGTGCTCTTGGGGCTCGACTACATGCATCGATGTTGCGAGGTCATTCATACAGGCATGGGCTATCTTTCCTTTATCGGGACGCATCTCATCCTGCTCAGACCTCAAGCCAGAAAACGTCCTCATCTACATTCCCGAGGTCGAGTCGGTCATTCAGTCCGAGCTCCAGTTGTCCGCCTCTGCCCGAGCGGATCCACAGCATGCACCGACGCACCACAAAATCACCGGTGTACCAGCTAGTGGAGGCCGTGGGGCCAACCAAACGCCTGGCCCACGCCACCTCGGTATCAACGTCAACGTTAATATAACGGGGAGCCAGCCGCTCAGCTCAAGTCCTACGGGAAGCTATGTGAGCCTGTCTGCGTTGAGCAGTGGCAGTATCGGTCGTGCCAAGGCGGTTGGGGACAAGTGGGGGCTTGGTATGCTCAAGATCTCCGAGGATGACGGCGGGGCTGCCTCGAAGAGCAAGGAGGGCGGCGACCTTGGCATGTCGTCACTTACGCTGTCGAAATCAGCCCCCGCAGATATGACCCCTGTGCACGGTCCGACGCCCCCGCCGCCGCCACTGGGCCTTGACGTTCCTCGGTCGGATCATAGACCTGTTGAGGGCGAGGAGGGCTGGGTCGAGGAGGTCGTCGATGCGGACCTGGATTACGAGATGATTATGGTGAAGATTGCGGACTTGGGGAATGGTGAGCGAGTTTGTGCATCCTTGGCAAAGCTTCATTACCGCCCGCAGCCACATGGACGAATCACCATTTTACAAATGACATCCAGACTCGACAATATCGATGCCCCGAGGTCATAATCGGCTCCACGACTTGGGGCACCAGTACTGACATATGGAGTCTTGCATGTGTGGTGCGTTTCGGCCGTTCGCATGTTTGCTGTCACTCAAAACATATAGTTGTTTGAGCTCATGACCGGAGGGGATTATCTATTCGACCCTGCGCCTGCACCAAAGGGTGCCAACGGCGTGCCGCGATATACCAAAGACGACGACCACCTCGCGCAGATTATAGAGCTGCTCGGGGAGCTGCCGCCTCATGTTCTCAAATCGGGACGATGGACAAGCGACTTTTTCAGTCCCGAGGGTCAGTGTATTCTTACTCTCTCTCTACTCCGCTAACGTATTCTCAAGGTAAACTGATACATATCCAAAATCTCCGCCCTTGGCCGTTAGCAGCGGTCTTGCACGACAAGTACCTCGTACCGCAGGAAGAAGCGGAAGCCATCGCGGCGTTCTTCCTACCCATGCTGCATTTAGATCCGGACAAGAGAGTGTCGGCGGGGGAGCTGGTCAAGCATGAGTGGTTAAGGGATGTGCCGGATTTAGAGGCTGATTTCATGCTGTTGAGGGAGAAGGAGGTGGTGGGGGATAGGGATGCGATGAAACCTGTAGATGAGAGTGGTGCTCCCGTGTTGGCGTCTCCGACGACGCCGACGACGCGGCAATGATAATGAATTATACCCAGCGAGGAGTGATGCCGACGTGTGGCGGATCACTGAGTTTGACAGGTCGCGTCAGAATCACTTTTCCTCGACTTTCTCGTCAGACTACTTCACACCTCATCCCAGGACCTTGTTGGGAGGTACCGCTGAATCAGCACCAATGCAAGTGAACACCACAAGTCGTGCCTAGGCTGCTCTGAGGCTCTGAGCTCTTGTTGTCGACCCTGGAGTCTACTGTCTTCGTCTGCGCCTGGACGCGGCGACACCTCTTCTGGTAGCCACCCGCTCGAACGATCCCACCGTTTATTTTCCGGAAGCACCTTCGCAATGCGTCCACTGATCGTCCCCGCCCAGTGACTCTCTGGAGCTCTGACTGTGTCGGTTCCTTGGGCCTTGACCGATACTTGAATTCAACTTTCCTTCCTTCTGAGCTCTGCATAAGCTCTAAAATTTACTCTGGCTGTGTCTTTTGCCAGTGCATGCAGCAGCATGTTCACAGTCCATGAAGCGAGACATGGTGTAGGGGTTATCATTGCGCTTGGTGGTTTGTCCAACTACACCAACTAATTTGTGGCTGTCCTCGGATGCTCATTCCCGCTCCCAACTCGTTCTTCTGAACGCATTACAGTCTCTACAGGCTACTCATCGCTCTGCAACATCTGGATCCCGCGTCGATTCCCACATCCCGGGAATGGAGGGAACCGTGCCCTCGGTCAACGACGCCCCGGTCCAAGTCGTATCTGTCTTTTATATGTTCGGATCGCAGCGCTCTCCAAGTCGTGTCTGTCCTGCAAATCGTCATGCTGTCATGCTTCTGTTTATTTCCCGGCAGTCCAACTGGGAGAACTTCTCAGACTTCTTCTGGGGATGATGTCTTGCTTTTCAGCTGTGCTTTGACTGATTTCCGACTTCTTGGTCTCCCTCAACTTCCTGCGAGTCCTATGATAATAACCTCAGTGGCTCCCTCATTTTCTTCCCTTCTCTCCTGAACATTCCTTGCTCTCAGGGAGCACACACTGTGGTGTAACACTAGCCTGCCGGTGTCAGGGCACATCCGGCTTTGGCCAACTACACCTGGTACTTTGGGCATCATGATCACCGTTGGCTCACTCCTCTCGTTTCTCTCTCTGCCTCTTACAGAACTTGGCCGGCTATCGGTATGAACGCTTCTCTTGCATTCTTAGAGACTTGTGTCTATGCTTCATGTTCCCAAATTTGAAGTTCAACTTGGCTTATGCAGCAAGGCCCAACATACCAACTTCACACTCCTTGCGTTATCAACTGCGCCGCCGAATTCCTTTTCGTTTCTGGTCAGCCTGGGCACTTCTCTACACTTCTCAGCCTCCTCACAGACTCGATCTTAACGGGCACATGGTGTAGGGGTTATCACTCATGCTTTGCAGCGGCCGGTTCGACGCCGGCTTCAATTGTATGCGGTCCTGGGTTCAAATCCCAGTGTGTCCACTTTTGCACTGGAGGGCAATTTTGTCTGCTTCCTGCATAATCGCGTTCAAAATCATACTACAAGACATGGAGGTTTCTCTTTTTCCATCCCTACTGGACGGCATGTGAGACTACACGGTCCTCCGTTCGATTCCCGGCGTCGCCTTTTTTTCTTGCAGGGATTTCAACATGTTTCGAGTTTGCCTCGACGGGCGCAGAGAAGCTAGGGCCCTCGGGGAGTGGTTTTTGCGCTGGCAGCGGGCAAGTAGCACCTAAGACTCAGATGAGGTGCTTGTGCTGAGCTTCACTGCAGTGGATGTACAAGTGTCTAGTAGCCTTACAAGCCGTAGATGTTAGTACTGGCCTGCGACGCTCGACATTGCGATGACTATAGTGGAACTCCGAGGCACGTACCATCGAGCTCCTGGTTCATGGTTCAACGAAATCAATAAATGCGGTCGACTCGATTATTTACCGTATTTCATGAGTCCTTTGAGAATGAAGTCGATCGTGACTGTGAGCGAGGAATCCGAGTCGCCGAGGATGGACTTGAGTTGCCTAAATAAAACTCCCATCCCATCAGCTCGAGCTGAGTCGAGCTCAGACGAGCATAGGTAATCTCGGTCTGTGGGAGTATATAGACGAGCGTTTCTCAAATGACTTCGACCGAGGAAAGCAGTACGATAGAGGTACTAAAGATGCTGAGATGAATCATGTCCGAATCCGAGTCTGAGGGCACAGTTACATCTTCTGATCGTCAACTGTGAGAGTCTGAGAGTCTGAGAGTCTGGTCCCAACATTATGTAATTGAACCGCAAGCACGAGTTTTCCGAGGCTTTCCGGCTGTCTTCTTGTCCGTTTCTGAAGACTGAAGTTGAATTTAACAGAGGCTTCCAAGTGTGCCCAGTTCTCCTCAAGTAAGTCTTGGTTGGGTCGTCCTGACACCGATTTAACTTGATTCAACCACGGGAACTTCATGTTTTCCCTCATTTCGGAATCACATTCTTCCGCGCAATTGAATTTGCAAAATAATCGGCACGCGCTTGGCACGCACCCACGTGTGCCTTAAGGGAATAAAATTTGGTTGTACATTTTGGTATGTGCCCCTTGCGGGACTGCGGTATCTCAATCTTACTTGTTTTAGCCAGGCCCAACAGGCCAACGGAACGGCTTCTTGTTTAAGGCAATCGGACTTCCCAAAAAGATGAGCCGGAATGTCGGCTACAGCCCAACGTGCGTCGCTTCCGCATGCCGATCATTGACGCAAACAAAGTGTCTTTTCTTCTTCTCGTACGACCATGAGCATCCACTCCGAGAAGACCAACGACATCGTCGACCCTGCCTCCGAGAAAGTGGCCGACGACAGCAGTGTCCAAGATCTGCTCAAGAAAGCTCGCAATGAAGCTATCAAGCCCATCTTTCTCGCAAAGTACGCTCGTTATCTACGACGCCCGACGTCTTTATATATGCTTTCTTTTCCAGGATGAAGGTGCTGAATGATGCGATTGCGGACTGTGGGATGGGACGGTGCGTTTCCGTCTCTGTACTTGAAATTCGGGACTCATTGGGGGCATAGGTACCAGGTATGTTCGTCTCATACGTGCGTGGCGTTTGGTGGGAGGCGGCTCCACATCTCATTCCTGTCAATCACCGCTCCCGCGCGGTTCCCTGGTCGTATGACTGATACTTTCCTGCCTAGTATGAGCTGTTCTTCAGTGCCGGTGCGTCCTTGATCTTTCCTTTTGCGTCGTAGTTGAGCTTTGTTTCGCCAGGTTTCGGGTTCGTGGAGATACTTCCTTTTTTGTGGTGCTCTTGTGACCTTGCTTCGGTAGTTGGTTCGCAGATAGTACGTCCCCGGTGCTTCTCGAATGGCTTCCATTGACGTGTAATGCCCCTAGATATTTGGCTGCAAGCCATCGCTATCGTGATGCCCGCCATTGCGAACCAGGTGAGTTTATTCATCTACAGTAGAAAATTGAACCAAACCTTGTAGCACAACTTCCCCGATTATTCTAGCAACATTCGTATGGCGACCTTTGCCCTCTACGTTGGGTTAATCATTGGCGTAAGAATATCTGGTTTGTATACCCTTCATCTCATTCATTCACTATGTAGTCGACGTTCTGGGGTATGAGCGCCGATGTCATCGGCAGACGGACCGCGTGGAATGCAACTTTGTTCCTTTCTGGCATTTTCGGTGTCGCGTGCGTATCTTTTTCCGCGGATCAATTCCTTTTCTTACGACTTGATAGCGCTGGAGCATCCCCGAATTTTCTTACTCTGTGTGGTGCGTACCGAGTGCCCTTCTCCGAAATTGTTGGCTTATTTCGCAGCCCTGCTTGCGTGCATTGGTAAGTTCGGTCAATCTCCTTTATTCCTTGCTCATTCTTCCAGGATTCGGAGTCGGTGGCAACATGCCGGTCGACGGCGCTCTTTTCCTCGAGTTCCTCCCCGGATCACACCAGTATATGTTGACTCTACTCTCCCTTTGGTGGGCTGTGGGCCAAGTCGTCGGGTCGTTGATTTCTTGGATATTTTTGGCCAAGTGAGTTGCATATTTCGTTCTTGATCCCAGCTCATCGTCTCAGATTTTCGTGCGACACTTCCTTGGTTGGTGTTCAGGTACAACCGGATGGAAGTCTGTACCAATGCGACAACTCGAACAACAACGGCTGGCGATGTGAGTATTTTGCTTGTTTTTTGAAGCTTGTATACTTATATGCAGACTCGTACTACACGATGGGCGCCCTGATGCTGGTCCTCGCCATTCTCCGGTACTTTGTGTTCCCGATGGACGAATCGCCGAAATTCCTCGTCAGCATTGGGCGTGACCAAGAAGCTGTCGACGTCGTTCACCGCATTGCCAAGAAGAACAAGACGACCTCGACGCTCACCGTTGAAGATCTTCGTACCGCCGCTCTCCCGTATCTTGACAATGACTCTGTCTATTCAGTCCCCACGACCAAATTCAGCACTTGGGAGCTTATTCGTAACAGCTTGCGAGTGTCTTTCGCTTGTAGACTGACGCAACTAATGCATTTCAAGTGAACATCTCAGCGGTGACAATATCACGGGACTGTTCGCTACACCGCGGTTGGCTTGGTCTACCAGTCTCATCATCTTCATTTGTTGGATTTTTTTTTTTTTTTCATCTTTCAACCAACACTATTGACAATTCTCCAGATGGCGCTCTTGGACTGGCCTACCCTCTCTTCAACGCCTTCTTGTGAGTACATTTCTTGATTTATTCCATTTTATCGTTGAGACGGCCTATTCAGGGGATCTTACTTGGCTGCCCGTCTGACCGAAACCGGTTCTACGAGCATCGACGCGACATACTGTGAGTCAAACTCTGTCTTTACATTCACGAAGCTCATCTTCCCAGCTGCGTACACGTACCAGGCCGCGTGCGGTGTCGCTGGATCCGTCGTTGCCGCCGTCATGGTCCAATGGTCCCGAACCGGGCGCAAGTTTTCCATGGGGTTAGTAGTGTTGAATTATTTCAAGTGAATGAAGCTGACGATATGCAGTTTCTTCACCATTATGGCTGGTGTCTTCCTGTTTGCTCTCACGTGCGTTCTCACCAGTTCCGTGGATATTTTACTCACTTCGATTTAGGGCGGCCAAGACGTCTGTACAAGTGAACGCCCTCGTCTCGATTGCGAGCTTCTGGGAGAACGCGTTCTATGGAGTCTTGTATGGATACGCGCCTGAAGTGTTCCCGACGCCGCGTCGTGGTACCGGAGATGCCTTGGCCTCTGCTTCGAGCCGGGTGACTGGTCTTTTCGCGCCCAGTGAGTGATATGTTTGAAATATGTCGCATCTTTCTAACTGGAGTAGTCATCGCCGTGTATAGTAACGCTGGAAAGACGCCGAATGGGTGCGTCGTGGTTGGGTTTAAAATCAGAGTCAACTGACTGATTTCGAACATAGTCCCGTATACGCCAGCGCCGGAATATTCATTTTCACGGGTCTCACTATGTTCCTCCTGCCGATTGAAACCGTGGGGACGACTGCGTACGTATACTTTATTTGTTTCTTTCGGGGGGCGAAGCTGAGACATGTTTAGGCTGTGATTTATCTTACTGACGGCTTGCGAGCGGTTGTTGCCTTCAACTGGCCGGGGATGTCGACCTGGTTGAAGATGTCTATCTATCTAGTCTTCAACTGGCTAGGTTATGCTTTTTGGATGTAGGTGCACGTAGGCACTATAATGACTTTGATAATTATACTTGTATGGCGCGTACATACGAAATACAGTGGGTATCGACACTGGAAAATTTTAGGTATTCACAACGCAGTCACTCCAGCGGTTTCAATGGGAAGGAGGAACATCACCAAACCTGTGAATACGAATATACCAGCGCTTGCATATACCGGTCTAAAGACTTGGTTAGTTCATGAGTCGGGAAGAGACTTATACACGTACCCGTTGGGCGTTTGTCCAGCCTTGCTATACACGGCGATGACTAGACGGTTGCAAATGAGACTCGACTTGAAATTGTACAGGGAGTCGACTCACTAGGTGCGAACAGTCCCGTTATCCGATTTGCAGCGGCGGCCAAGGCATCTCCTGTGCCGCGGCGTGGCGTGGGGAAGACCTCTGGTGCGTATCCGTAGAGTACACCGTAAAATGCGTTTTCCCAGAAACTGGCGATGGAGACGAGGGCGTTTACTTGGGTTGAAGTCTTTGCGGCTCTGTATTGATGGATTCTCAGTTCCACACGCAGAAAAATTAGAAGAGAAACGAACGTGAGGGCGAAGAGGAAGACGCCAGACATGATGGTGAAGAATCTGTACCGAATCGGTCAACAATTCAGCTTGTATCACCCAGAAATACTGACCCGAGGGAATACTTGCGACCGGTGCGCGACCATTGGACCATGACTGCTGCGAGCAGTGACCCTGCGACACCGCAGGCCGCTTGGTACGCATATGCCGCTAAATAACATATGGGTGTCGCGCCAATTTGAACATGACAAATGGCCCACTCACAATAGGTAGCATCAATACTTGTCGAC